ATCTGCAGTTTTGAATCAACGTCAACATTTTGATATACTTTCAATCCCAAGAGTCATTTTAAAATGGTCTATATTTTTTTTCTTGAAAGTCTTTGTATATGGGAAGAAATATTAAAAACATATGCAAATAATCACTTTTGACAATCACATGGCACAACATTAAAGCTTAAGGGATGTGTGCTTTTCTAGCTATGCCATTTATGATGCTAGTATGTATCCCCCATTATAGTTATTTAGTTCTATTATCAAACGGGTACAGGGAATAAACAAGGTGGTTTTTTTCCTGTCTATTTTCAATTCTGAGCGAAAGAGGACTAGCAAAGAATATGTTTTTTTTCTATATATATAAAGTACTTGAATAGTGTTGAATCTTAACAGGCAGTATGGCCTCAATAGGGCCACAATATGGCAACCATAAAACCTAATTTAGCTCTCACAACTTGCTAAAATGTTTTGACCATTTAATGTTGCCAATCTGTACATATTTTTATAATGATGCAGTGATATGCCTATTTGTTTGAAATATTTTTTTTCAATCTTTCAAGTTATCAGCTTAGTAAATTACAGGAGTATTGCAGAAATGAGTCATCATGACTTCAGCAAAGCTCCAAAAGTTTTGGTTAGGAAACTTCATACATTCGTAGTATTTATAGATAGATTTCCAGCTATTGGAAACTCTTAATTTGTACTTCTAATCTCTGAAACTGGGGAGATTAAAACTGAGCACCAGTGAAGGAAGTGATGGAATTCTTCGGATTCTTTGATGACAAAAAACTAGGAAGGTCATTAGCACATAACCACAAAATTCAAATTAATTCTGATACAACTGATTGAAGGTAGAAAAATGAACTTCAAAATTCTTTGTTTACAAGTAAAATGCACAAGAATGCATAAATTCTCAAACTAAGCATGAATTAAAACTGTGATCAGTTCAGAACTGAAGAAGCTTAAATAAGGTCCTAGAAGTTACAAAGTGTACAAGTTTTGACAGTTACATACTATTCTCAATGTTATCTGCAATAAACCTCTTGGTATCGGTGGCTGCTGCAATAGTTTTTCTTGTTTGTGAACTGTACTCTGAAAGCCAGTATGGGAATAAAATGCTGGAATTTTGGCTTGAATCTTCTTAAGAACGATAAATAAAGATTTAGAACAGACTCAAGATTTTTAAGATTTTTAAGAAAATAATAATCATGGGAAAAAGTTGAAGAAACTGAATTGAGCCTAGAGGGGAAAGACTAAGGACAAACATTATAGCATTCTTCAAATAAGTGAATGGCAGGGGAGGGAGAAGCCGATGTCGCGATGACACGACCTGCAATCTCGAAGTCCCAAGATAACAGTCAATACTTTTGCCGCTGAACAATCCATATGAACATAAACCATCCGCAGAGATGGAGATCGGGAAGAAGCTGATAGCAGGGATGTCGCAAAGTCCCTGATTGATCCAAGAGAAGTTCTTCTAGATGGCGACAAAAGCACAGCCACAAGCTGATAAAGTTGGGACAGCTCCAGAATGGAAGGAAATGGAAAGAGAAAGTGTGTACAGCTGGTGAGGAAACTTTACTCTTTTAAAAGAGACTGCCCCCAAAAAACCTTAAAGCTAAATTAAATTTGAAAACAGAAGAAATAAGTGGCAAAATTAAGCTACATTGGATTGCATTGGATAGTGTGTTAGCTCTCTTTTTAAATGCTATTTTATGGATGGAATTTGCGCAAAGCTTTTTAAAGTGAACAGATTAGTTTTTCTTCTACTTTTTTATTTTTGTAACCTATAGATTATTATTTTTTCATTTTTATAGGAGTTTTTTCCCCTTTTTTCTACTTTGTTCCATTTAAGAATTTTACTTTTTTAAAAACCTGGAATACAAAAAAGATACAAAAGGAGTACAAAGAGGATTGTAACATTAGAGGGAAAGGAAGCAACGTTGCCACTTGGAGGCTGGAGATTTGAGCCTTAGAAACATTGTACTTTCACTTCTCTCTTTGATCATTCTGATCAAATATATGTATGTATGTATGTATGTATGTATGTATGTATGTATGTATGTATGTATGTATTGGCTTAAAAAAAGGAAATTGGATATAAATTGTAAACAGTGATTTGGAAAGGAGGACTAGAAACTTGGTTACTAAATATTATTGATTTTTATTTAGAATAGGTCATAAGGATTTAATGTTATTGGATGATATTGGAAATAGCTAACAAAATGCCATTATGTGGTTATGCTATAAACTTTGGAATATTTTATACAAAAGGAAGTTAAAACAATTATGGTCAAATGAAAATTGAGGTATGATAATAGTAGTATTTATAAATATATTTGATTTAAAATATATGATTTGATATGTATTATAGGTGATGATTGTGGAAGAGATGCATGAAAGTTTTTGTAACCAATTGACACACTTTCTATAGTATGTAAAGAAAGACTATTCTTTGTGTTGTATTTGTGTTTATTCAAAAATCTAAAAAAAATAAAAAATAAGTGTATGGCAGCCAGATAAAAGATTACAGTGTTCTGTTGCCCCAAAACACCTTTAAATCCAATGGGCTTAATTTACAGTAAGGTAGATTGTAGGGAAACATGATGAAAAACTTCAAGATGATCAAAATCATTTAACAATTGAATCAATTATCTGATGTCCAAGAATGGTGTTGATATTTACTGAAGGTTTTCAATCTTTGCAATGACAACCATCTATTGGGAATGCACTAGTCTTGATTTCCTGTACGGAGCAGCAGATTAGACTGAATGGTCTACAAGATGCCTTTCCAACTCAATGAATCTATGTAGTTTTAGCAAAATGTGCAACTTTAACAGATTCTTTTCCATCCCCAGAGCCCTGCCACACCACTTGCACCCATAATTTTTCCCACTGGTTTCCAGAAGTTTGTTTTCCTTTCCCCTTAAATCAAACATCCTAAACTGCTGTCTTTGAGATCACAAGGCAGCAGAGAAGAGTGGGAAAAGTATTCAAATCCCAGAGGAAAACCTTTGTTAAGTGGCATAGTGCTTTGCAGTTGGAATCTTAAAAATCTTGGCGAGCAGAGTTTCTTATTGTCAGAATTTTCACTAAAAAAAAAAAAAGAACAGCCACAGATACTGAAAGCATTAAATAAAAATTACCAACAAGCTGTCTTACCTGTGTGCACTCAAGTGAAAGGAAGGGCAAACAAGAGCAGGTAGTGCTTCTACATCAGTCAAAATGCTGACAGCTACAGTGTAATGCCTGACAAGGCTGACGTGCTATACTCCCAAAGATATTTCTAAGTGAATTGAGAAAGAGACAAATAAATTAGTAATTGTCGCTCTCCTGTCAATGTCCTTTTTTGTGATCTTCTCATGCTGTTAATTAGCATTGTCTAGTGCAATTCACTGATATACTCTCTTAGTGTAAATAAAGATAAAGTCAATTATTTTGTGCTTAAAAATATTTGGCATCAAAAGAACAGTATCAATAAAATGATCTGAAATCATTTTTATATTTCCATGAATTTATTTAAAAACAAACAGATATACTTATAGTAGTATTTTTTCATTAGATAGTACTCCTTCTAACAAACCAAGGGGGTTTCTTTTTTGTTTTAAAACAATACCACACATTAACAAAGAAAACAAGAAAATGAAATGAGAGTGCATTAATCATCAGTTTAAAACAGGGACAGGCAGACTTCTTAGTCCTGTGCTCCTTTTTATGGAGAAGAAATATTATTAAGCTGTGTACTCAAAAGTGCCCATCTCATAAGGTTTGAATATTATTTCAAATTAGCAGAACAATGTGTTATGTGAAAATAGACATATGTTCCCCCACAAATTCCAGAAAAGTTCCTATATTTGCATTATATTTTATCTAAAATGCAAAATTGTTTGCATATATTTGTTCTCAGGATCCCTTAGCTCAGAGTAATTATTTGTTATAAACTGATTTTTCTTACACATCAATTCTAAATTCTAAAGCCCTGTTACAATGTCCCTGTGCAAATTCTGCCACTAGTTCATATACGAAACTGCACAAGATAGGGCCAATATGTATTTATTATATGTACAATTATATTTTCCATTACATCTTTTCAATATTAAAAACAGTCCCTAAGTGTTAGTAATAGAAAAATAGTATTCTATTATCACTTCCCATTCTCTAGATTCACACTTCTGGAGCTGATGCAAAAACCAATGCAACCCTTGACTGAAAATACTGATGTAAGGGTTCTATGCATACACAGTTAGTTAATTCAAGGACTGTAGAGATAATTAATGGGAGACATATAAACTTTGAATCTTCTGAGATGAAGTTCAAATGCAGCAGAATCTGAACTTGAGCTTTTCCAAAATGGTATAAAAAACCAACAATTTGGTTTAATATACCTCTATAGTTAAAATCTACAACTGTTGAAAATTAAAACCTTTTTCTTTCTTTTTTTTTGCAACGTGGTGAGAAATTAAAACAAACCACAAAGTTAATCTTCCATGATTCAAAAGTTCAAGTGAAATAAATAATTCACATGAATTCATGAAGTTGTTTGCATGAAAAAGTAGTTTATAATTTACAAACTACTGTATACTTGGAGATTAAGAATGATATTGCAATAGGCTAATCTTTTGGTAGAGGGGCATTGTTGTATTTATAAATCAATAAAATATGTGAATTTATGTATAAGCAACTTAAGTGCCTAGCAATTGCCTGGGTTTATTGCCTTCAGCGTACAGTAGTTTTTAGCCAATCCCAAGACAGGGCTACTTGTAGTATGCCAAAGTTTTGTTATAAGTAGTAATGTTCTTGTTTCTTCTACATTGCATCCAGCATATGAATGCATTTCTAATATAGTTCAATGATAAACTAATTGCAATTCAATGTTAATGATTCATTTAGGCTCTTATTTAATTGGCAGATGTCAAAATGGGTTCAATCAGATTTAGAGAGACTTTATGCAGTTTATAATTGGTTTTCTTGGAATTGTTTAGTGAGACGAACATGAATAACAGCAAAATTGTTCTCATCGCACAATTCGGTCCATAGTAATGAAGTCATTTCATGTATATTCCATTTTCTTGGTAAGAAGATAAGAGTCAGAATTTTACCTAGAAGTGCTGCTACTATAGGTAAGTATCCATCTCATAGAACCTGTCAACCTGAAATTCTTGGAATTTCACTGAAAACCACAGATGCCATGAAATGTCAGTAATGGTGCTGATTGCAACTAACAATTCAATATTGGAAACTGAAACAATATTGTGGTGGGAAAAGAGTGTCAGATTAAGCATTGTATTGGGCAGTGGTCTCCAACCTTGGCAACTTTAAGACCTGTGGACTTCAACTCCCAGAGTTCCTCA